CTTATTTCTTAAAAAATGGTCATAAAATCAATTAACGAAAGTGTTATTATTTTTTAATATATTATTGTATTGAACAGTCGAAATAATTTGTTTTTCATTGAGGAAAGCACCCAATTGGTTGTTAAGTTGCAAATATCTGCCCAGTAGGAGACATCGATTCGTTGGAAAAAGATGTATCGGGATTTAGTTTTGGTTTTCAGTGATTAGTTCAGGGTTTGTAATTGTCTGATGTTCAGTAATGCGCTCGATTTCTGACTTTCAAAATGTATCATAATTTACATTATGTGAAACCTTGAAAGTCAATGGAAAAGGTATAAAGATAATGTTTATGTGCAGAAAATTATACCACTTATATAGGTATAATTTTCTAGGTACGGTATTCACTAAACTTTATTTGTGTTTGTTTTCTAAAACTCAATTCATAGCATATAGACGGTGCAATATCCCCGCCGGCCATAAGCCGATTGCAAAGAGCTTAAAGCTCAGCTTACACTGAATGCAAGCATTACGGTATTAGACGGAATTTTACCCGCCTAGTAGAGACTTCTATTTTATGAAAGTCTACGTAGAAGATCATATGACATGCCTTGTGACTACTGACAATTATTTGAGTTTTTTTTTTGTTTACCAAGTGGCACCCGTGTCGAATTACGTCTTGTTTCTTTAACTGTTTTTAATAATTTAGTGATTTGATATTTATTAAAATGACTAAAATTAATACGCTTTCCAAAATCGAACGTGATGTGAAGTGACTTTATGTTATGCAAAGTACATATAATTTAATGGAGTTTGCACTTCAAATAGTTTGAGTCTGTGGTCTTGATATTTAACTAAATTCTATCCAGTAAATGCAAGGATTAACAAGCTCTCTAACAGCCTAAATGTGAAGTTAACGACCTCTTTTTACATAGTGTGAGTTTAATCGAATTGAGGATTGTAAACTACTGTTTCATTTCAAAAAAATTCAAGTCATATTTACAGTAATTTTCCTTTACCATACAATTAATTATTAGGCCACAAGATAAGTACATCTAGATATTATAAGTGAGTTACTACCTACAACCGAAAAATAAGAAACTTCTATTACGTGCATACTTGTAATATTATCTTCGAATCTTCGACATTTTAATTCACACATAAGAAAATTGAGAACAAAAATATTGTTGCTACATCAAATAAATATGTCCTTCGATATGCTACACGTACTTTCTGAAAGAACCAGTCACAAGTGCCATAACCCTTTCAACGCAAATATCGGTTTTAGCACTCACAGCTTTCAAATATATTGGGACTACGGGGCCCTAACAATAAAGAGTTTAGGGCCAAATACGATGGTAAAAAAGAAAATAACCTTAAAGCTCACCGATAACGTTTTACAACCGGTTAAAGAAACTCCAATTTATAAATTATTAGATATCTGTTTTACTTCTTTTATCAACTGATAAATGGATATATAAATACATTATAGGCCCACCTCAAATTTAGAGGTAGATTTAGTATTATCCAGGGAGAGGCGATGGGGAGATAAAGATATGTCTACCTCAGACAGACCTCTCTCTGGTTGATATGAATAAAAGCCATGTGGAATTAAATTCCACAATCTGACTATAAATAATTTTGCTAACAACACGAATAAACCGATTTTATCCGCATTACGGTCGCGCTTCCCTGTAATATCTCAAAGCCATCGTTCCCGAGCGTGTTTGCGGATTACATTACATTCTCTACTTACGTTCCGGTGAACAGTTGTTGCGGCACTCGATCATAAAGGTGCAAAAGTAGAAAGCCACATTTTAACGACGTAATAGATAACTTTTATTCGCTGTTAAAAGGCAACAAAAAGATTTCCTCCAATACGAGGACTATGTAGTGACAAAGACGAGGAGTATAAGTATGTAGTAACTTTAGGAATAGGCAGGTACCTATTTATATGCTCTGTAGTAACGTGCTTCTGCTAATACAACGATAATATTTTCCCCACCACAGAAATAGGAAGAACCTGAACCTTCTTGGTTTGTATCGTATAACCGCCAGTGCTCGTATTATCATGAATATTTTTATTTTATTTCTTGATCTCGTATTATAATCTACTCGAAAAATATTATGCAAACCCTACATTTGGATAAAATTAATGGACCCGGCAAATAACAAAAATAATCAAATTAAAACTGTCAAATTAATAGAAGTTACAAATGGACCCCACGTCAAAAATGTTTTAATTGAATATTATTAAGCGGTGAGGCGGCACAAGGCGCATTTAAACAGAAGATACTCGTAATTATGTATAAAAAAGTTGAAAAAAAAAACATATTTTTACGAATGTACCTGCTTAATTGTAGATTGATACTACGGCCTCACAAAAAAGTGTATTCCCGTGTGAGTGAGGTCTCCGAAGATCAATCATCTCTCTCATCCCCAAATCTCCAACAAGCCAGTAACTCACTGGTAACTCCTCTAGTGTTCCGGGCACCGATTCCGTGCTCACGTGATGTGTCTGCTCATTTAGATACCCCATAAAGAACGTGACCAGGAATAAAGCTGTGATTCTACGATTGAGTCAAGCCAGGCATGAAATTTTGCGTTGTATATTGTAGTTGTATGTTTCGGAATATTGTAGTCGTTGAGCGCTTTCTTGCTAAGCATTTTTGTACAGTATTTGTTTTTGTAGTACTCGTACAGCGTGAAATGGGTCGCCGTTACCGAAATCAGTACCTAAGGAGGACTATATATATATGTCGGAGAAACATTGTCATCGCCGACACCGTCATTAGTGATTGCGGGCTTAGTGGGCGTCATGAGGGTAAAATGCGAGCACAAAACACAATGATCACAATAAACACTATTTTAATTAAGATGGTAACAATAGTTTTATCTGTTTCACAATAACGCAAAAGAAAAGTTAATAATTAGGACTGAGCAGCGGGTTCAGGGCACCGATCTTACAGTAAATTAATAAACGATCCACCTCGACCGATAGCTAATTCATGCTCTCCCGCCAAAAACTATCTCTCTTTTTATCAGTAAGATGGCGCCTCGACCCCGCTCGAGGCGCGCGCTCTGCTCTGATTGGTCGTTACTTAGGAAGTCAAATTCAAATTATCAATAATTCTAATAAATCAAATTAAGAATTTTAAGTGTGACAAATCAATTTAACTCGTCGAGTACCGGTTTTGTAGACACAATTACAGAACAATAGGTAGCGGTCACCGGTGACCGCTTGGTGTTTGACAGTTTAAATTAATTTAGGCATTTTAAAAAGTGAATATAAAACAAACAAAAATTAATGTGCGTTATGTAATACAAGTAACAATTAACTCCCAGCTTCCTCCGACATATATATATATATATATATAGCGTGAAATTATAACAGATTTATCTTAAATCAATGTACCTACCTATTTGTAACATAAGTCAGTAACAAGGTAGATAGTCCCACTACACAAGCACGAGTGGGGTTAATGGGAGTTCTTAAACGATATCTCAAGGCTGGTGATGGCATACCAACGACAAGAGCGACGGGTCTCTTGAACTCGATGATAGCTCATTACCCAGAATTAGATGTATTCCACGATAAATCGTAAGTCATGCGGATATTAATGTATAAGTTTTTAAATATCAATCTCAATAATATAAGAACACACTGTAAACTTTCATTTTAATGTAAATAAATAAATAAATAAGGCACAAAATCCAAAAGTCACTTGTATGTATAGCAAATCTTATATATACCTCTATACTTACTAATATATAAAGTGAGAAGAGCTTGTTTGTTTGAACGCGCTAATCTCCGTAACTACAAGTCTGATTTGAATAATTCTTCTTGAGTTTGATAGCGCATTTATCTAGGATGGCTATAGGCTATAAACATCACGCTGCGACCAATAGGAGCTGAGCAGAGCGTGTGAAACCGCGCGGAAGTAGCTAGTTAAATATATAACTCAACCCGATTAGGCCAAGCCCCAATAAATGCCTGATTGGCGGCATGTGTAAACACGTGATATGCAACAAAATATGTTCTCAAGGTCAGTAGGAGCATCGCACATTTGGTGCCAATTAAATTATCAAAAGGCAACATGCCCATCGTAACATGAGTGTCTAAAATCATACGGGGAATACTTTCGCAGTATTAATCGATTCTGTGTATCATATCACCGTATTACCCATGTAATGATGACAGAATAGAAAACATTTGTTATCGTCACTACCCCTAATCTACCAGACTATCGGATTAGACATTTACAGACACTAAACCTTACCTTTTTTAACTGAGCTCTCCAAACCGCTAGCAAAACATGTAGATATGATAAACCTCTTTTGTGAAATGAAACGATTAAGTTTTATATTTTATTTTATTTCCAATATAATAGAGTATTTATCATTTAGTGAATATGAATTATCTTTGAACCCGTGAGGACACTGATTTCATTCTCTGAGGTATTTCTCTAGTACATAGGTCAGAGTTTTGGAAGTCAAAGCATTTATTTCAATTAAACCTTATTTTGGCACTTTTGAAACGTCAAAAAATACAAAATAAATAATAGTCTTAATTTTGTACAACGACTTGTAACTAAATAATGTAAAAAAATTAAGCGTATCAAACAAGGGGTTATCTAAGGTACAGTCTTCTATACAAAAAATAATTATACTATAAACATTTCGTCCATCTTAAAAGAAACATTTTGTACTTCTAACAAAGTAAGTAAGAGTCCGAGTATTATTTTTATATATTTTCTGCAATAATGCAACATCTTGTTTATATTTTTAATATTAAAAATTAGGTATACAAAATAAATTGTTTACATTATCATTTAACCTTACTCATTAATTGCTATGTGTGGTCAAAATTAATATATGAGTAGGTACACAGTCATTCTACCAATTAGGCAGGCACTCTTAGTCAGAACAGTTATTATTAATTTTAATTAGTATTTACAAAGTACTTCCTCATTTCATTAATTTATAGATACGAAAATACATTATTAATTGTGTTTTCCAAGTATAATATATATACCAATAATACCTAAGTACGTATGTATTCATTTATTTGTTTGATAGTAGCTATATATGTACCTACTTCTTGCTAACAATAGCTAAAAACTTATCCTGTACATTCCGTTTTAAATCATTATTATTTATCCTGTATACATGTAGATAAAATAATGTACATAAAATAAAGAGCATTCAACGTATTTATCCATTAGGTACTCGTAACATAAATAACAAATTAATGACAGTTGAAACACGCTTAAACTGTCAAACACCACTTTTGTACTTAATTTACACAGCAATAAACAGTGACATCCACCATGGAGGGTTGTCTAACCACGTTTTCAGTTTTTCTCTAGGGGGTAATATGCCAGTGTCCGGCTTTGGCTCCGGCATTTTGGCGTATTTCATTAAAGTTTTACAATCGACACCATTACGTAAATAAGCGTCTTTTGTTTGAATTTCTACGGCACACTCCATATTGTTAGGGTCTACCGGTGGCCCTTTTGCACTCAAAGGATCAACAAATGTCGAATTAGTTGTACACACTGTCACATTCACCATAGTTGCGTTAGTTGTTACCGTCTTGGTGATGTATGATACAGTACCGTTCACTGATGAAGTCTCTGTAGTCACTGTCGTTACAGGTGGGTGCGGTGGCTCCGTGGTGGTTACAGCCTTCGTGGGTTCCCACTCTGGCAAGGTAAAGCTTGGAATAGACTGTGGACGAGGGCTTATCGGTGGCATTATAAGAGTACCGTTTGGCGCTAACGTCATTTTCCCGACCGCATCGGCGTAAGCCAACATTTCGTTCAATGAAAGGTTGTCGAAATTATCTGGAAAATCATTAAATGGTTTGGCCGTCGTCGTCGTTGTCGTTGTCGTAGTGGATGTTGTAGTTACTGGCACTGGCTTGTTGGTAATAGTTGTCGTACACTTAGTTTTATTCACCTGAGTTTGCTGCGGTAGATCCACTTTTTTACTATCTTGAGTAAAGGTTGAAACAATTTCACAAGGTATTTTCAGCGCTTCCTCTCGTCCGTTTTCTTTTACTTTCAGTACGCAATTTGCTTCGTCTTGTGGTTTGTTCTGTGATCTGTAGTAGGAGGAACCGTATGATGGGGTATCATACCTGTGTCTGTAGTAATCGTCATAATAGTAGTGGTTATGGTAGTGACTGTGTGAGCGGCCGAGGTTGTACAGCGACAAACCAGTCAGCAAGTCTCCGTAACGACTGTCGGAGTTTCTATAATCCTGTACATATACGTACTGCGGTGCAGAGTAGTATGTTGTTGGGTGTGAGGAGTACGGCACGTTGGTATGGTAATAATGGTGATTCGACGTAGGTCTGTAACTCGACCCAGAGCCAGACAGTCCTGATGATGATGACGGGTAACTAGATGATCCAAAGTGCCATGTAGATCCAGAAGATGATGAGGAATATTTACCACCAGAGCCGTATCCAGACAATCCTGAGGACGATGATGGATATGTGTGTGAGTTAGAACCATATCCAGATAACCCTGATGACGACGAAGGGTATGAATGACGGCCGGACCCATAACCAGATAAACCAGAGGACGATGAAGGATATCCGTGTGATCCTGATCCCGAAAGTCCTGATGATGATGAGGGGTAGCCATGTGAAGACGATGAAGAGCTTGAGCCCCAACTGTGCTTAGAACCGTGGCTCGAAGAACCAAAGCCAAAAGAGAAACCTCCTCTGCTTCTGCCACCGCTCCCTCCTCGGCTCCTTCCCCCGCCTCTACCACATTCTATATAATTCACAGTCAGACACGAAACAAACAGGCACAACAGAAATATTCTGCTGGCCATTTTACGTAACGTAAATGAGCGAGTGCTCAGACGCGTTTGATCGTCCTGCCGTTGATTGGTTTTATTTAAAACAAGTTCGTGTAACTGTGTGTGTGCGCATGACGTAAACCAGTATTCAGAGAATCTCATTTGCTCGTGCAGACAACAGATAAGTAAAGGCTAGAAGGTGAAGTAAATATCAAATGTTTGGACCTGATATGTATGATTGATGTCGCGCCTGACTACTGTGCTACTAATTGTCGTTGGTTCGATTTTCGCGTCAAGCAAATAGTGCTAGCCATACTTCATTACTACAGAGTGCATTGATTCCCCTGCCCCTCCTTTCGTATTCAGCTATTCTTGACCACGATAGTTGTGTGTTTAGTCCTTTGGGTATCCATCATGCTGATCCTTCTATTGCCACCTTGATTTATAAATGCTATTACAATAACAATTCTTTACACTCATATTTTTCTAATAAAAATAACCATTTAAAACAGTACACCATCACAAAGAAACAAATTATTTAACCCAGCCTTAAGATGCAACGACCTGCGGTATAACGCAATAATATTTCGTTTGAAGCTTACGTATTTCTCAAAAAGTTTAAAGTTTGTGTCGTCAGCAATGACTCATGCGCACGCTATGACGTAGAGAGTTTTATCTAACGTAATTACCGAAGCGCTTTAATGTATTCACATGAATAACAAACCAATACCTATATTAAGATTCCTTCTAACCTTCCTTTTGACAGTCGGGTGAAAAATACTATGTCCAGTTTCCTTGACTCTGATGAAGATGAATCGAGACATATTAAAGTCGTACAAGGTCACAACACTCGTAAAATAGCATCCATTTCACTTAAACAAAAAGAAATAAAACAATCTCAAAGCTTTCAACCCTAATTGGTAAAGTTATGAGGGAATTTAATAAAAAAAAAACGAGGTTGCAAAATGTGATAAATGTTCCGACGAATTTGGCACACCTCGTGTCAAACTGTCAATTTTATTTGATTGAAGGTGATTCCAATTTGTGTTTATTTACATTACAATTCATATTCTATTTTCTCATTTATGGTATAAGTAGGTACAGAACATTTTAAAGCAAATGATGTTATAATCTTAAGCCTGGTTTAAACTATCCAACTTAACCATTACTTTTTAAAAAATGTTGTAATTTGAAATCAGAGTTTCGCATAAAATACTTAAGCATTATCTAACTGACTGAATTCTTATAACTTAATGCTAATTTCTATGTGCCTAACTGAAAAGAGGTTAGTAGGCGATAACCTTTCTACAAGTATATGTATATTCAAAATAATCTTAAAAACTATTTTTTTACTAATAACAACATAACATAACATCACGCATTTTATCCCCGAAGGGGTAGGCAGAGGTGCACATTTTTTTTTAAGGGGGTAAAATCATCGAATGACTGCTCCCGCCTGGGTGAGGCGGAAGGGAGTGTCAGACTCTTACTGACCAAAAACCATCCCGTTCCTTCTCCTGCACGTCGAGCCGGAGCCCCACTAGAGGTGCACATTACGGCACTTATGCCACTGTACAGTGTCACTGTACAATGTCACTACCTATTTATGTTATGAGTCCCATGTAACAGGGGTGAGCCTATTGCCATATACCGGGCACATTTCCAGACTCCGTGTTACTACTGAGATTTTTTTAAAAACCCAGTAATTCTTAGCCCGACTCGGGAATCGAACCCGAGACCCCTTGCCCAGCAGTTGGACTTGCGACCACTCGGCCAATGAGACAGTCACATTCACATTTCACATACTAATGACAACTTCATTTATAAAAGTAATTTAACTATAGATAACAATTAATTACTTTACTTCTATATTGTTTTTATTTTAGAAGTTATCATCAATCACCCTTAATGAGGTGTTGGGCACTCAATACATTTCAGTGCACAATCACTTTCTTTAGATCTATGTAGTTTTTTTTTATGGCATAAGCCGGTAAACGAGCAGACGGATCACCTGATGGTAAGGAATCGGCGTCGCCCATGGACACCTGGAACACCAGAGGCGTTACAAGTGCGTCACCGGCTTTTTGGGGATTAGAAGTTTGAGGATCGTTGGGGATTCAGGGATTGGGGAGATTGGGGAAGGGGAAGGTAATTGGGCCTCCGGTAACCTCTCTCACACGACGAAACACAACGCAAGCGTTGCTTCACGTCGGTTTTCTGTGAGGCCGTGGTATCACTCCGGTCGAGCCGGCCCATTCGTGCC